CCACTGCAACTGTAGAACAAGTGAAAATATGCTTCTATATTGCTGTTGTTGTTACGGTCGTCACTTGCATTGGCTGGCACTTGGTAAGTCATTGTTTTGTAGGCATTTTTTTTTTCTTTCTTTTTTTCAATTTTTTTACACTCGTTGAGTGACTGCGTTTAAAGGAATCGCTTTATATTCGAGTGTACTTGATTATTTGCTCAATGAAGTGTGAATGTATAATGAATATAAATAAATATGGAGGTGTGTTTGGCACTTTGTCAAGCCATAACACCAAATAAAGGAATTCCATAATAAATATAACAGTACAATTAAAAAAAGGAAGAAAAAAAATTGTATTAAAAATTTATTAAACACTTTTAATTTAAATAAAAAAAAAAAAAATGAAGAGGATAAAATTGTTTTAAAAATAAAAATCATTAAAATTCGATAAAAAAATAAAATAAAATATTGTACCATAAAATAATTAATTCAAGTTAAATTAAATAAATCTAAATAACTTAAAAAGTACTCAATAAAATAAAAAAAAAATAAGAAAACTAAAGAGCTGAAATAAAAATAAAAATTAATTGAATAAATTAAAATATAATCAAAAGCAATTAAATAAATAAAACAAAAACATAAATTAAATTAAATTAAGAAAAGTAATATTGATAAAGTTAAGTAAAACGAAATAACATAACAAAAACAGAATTATATAGAAAATAATAATTAATAAAATACGATGAAAAAACTACAATTGGATAAAAAATTAATTTAAATTTAATTAAGTAAATCAAAATGATTTAAAAAAGTTATGAATAATAATAAATAAAATTAAAAAATTTATATATATTATTAATATATTAAGAAATAAAAGTATTTAACTCAAATAAATTAAATGAATTAAAATTAAATATAATAAAACCACGATAAAATAAATAAATAAATAAATGCACGTTTGTGAAATATATATTTGATGACTGAAGATTTAAATGTTTGTTTATTGGTTTGTTCAACTGACGGCTGTCAGTTTGTCTGTCCGCCTAATCATAACTCAAGCAAGTATTGCGATGTTTTGTTGAAACTTGGTTCACACATTCATTTGGCTACCAGAGTGGACGCTATAGCAAATCATTGAAATCCGACCAAGTTCACATCAATCGCTCTTATAACGGTAAATTTGAAAAGTACGAAAATCGTGCTAATTTCAGTAACTAATTGAGCAATTAAAGTCATAAAAAATATGGGATAAAGAAAAAATCGAGAAATTCTTGTATATGATTCCAATGGTTTCGCTTTTATCACATATAAAAGATTTTTTATCTTCTAAGAAATGACTCGAGATGGAATATTTAAGACCATTGACATCGTTCAGTAATTAAAGGAATAGCTGCTGCACTGGCTGCGTCATCTCTTCACTTGGGTGAATAAGAACACTCGACCTTTGAAAGTATTTGATGTTGTACCCACTGGTGCTGGTGGATCAGAGGAAGAAAAAGACCTTCCCTTTGGTCGAAAAATCGGGGGGAAGAAGGCTTGTCTGCACTTGGTGTCTCGAACGATAGCTCACACGCTGTTATGAATTCGTCTAAAAATGCTTAAGCTCAAAAGAAACAGTCTTTCTTTGAAGATTACTCAAAAAAAAAAATATCAGCCGTGTATCTAATGCTCGGTTCTACCAGAATTTAATCTTTTTATATTATTATATTTTACTAAGCCAATTCATTATAATAAAGGAGTCTGCGTCGAATCAATGTTTTTATCAACTCGATCTCTAGCAATAAAACCATGATTAAACTCCAAAAAGGGTTTAGAGCTGTTTTTCTGTCATAAGATAGACAAGCAACTTCTCGAGCCCTTATCACAGGCCTCTTCATACTAAGCTTTAGTCCATTCAATTAAAAAAAAGAGTAACATTTCAGCCGGGCGTAAGTTAGTAACTCAGAGCCTACAACTCTCTTTCAGTGTGAGGTTTCAGCAGAAACATACGTGTTTTATTTAATTTCGTTGGGGCTCGTCAGGGTTCGGATACGTCTGGTTACGTTAGATCCCGAATTTTTTCAGTCCTGAAGAAATCCTCGAGACCCTATTTGAGCATTAGTAACCGAGTAGCTTGATGAATTAGATTAAAATCCTTCTTTCTCAGTGAATTTAATCTAATACCAAGGCTCTTGAAAAATTTAGTATCATTTCCGTGAGCAGAAAAAGAGAAAACTTCATTACACTCAAGCTCAGTTCTATCAGCTTTAGAATGATGGGTCATGAAGCAGTCTGCCGTTAGTACTTGTGGCAATCGAGCGATCACAAGTTGAGTTGATCATTTCTACTCTAAAAGCGCACTCAAAGAACAGAAAAGTCTACCCCCTGCGGCTTAGGGGCTCAAGGCGGTAAGGCATGCCTGTCGTAAGAGGCGACTAAAATCCAATAGTTCCCGCGACAGTCGGGTCTTTATACCGGAACGACCCGGATTTTTATCCGGCCAAGGACTGTCACTCCCGCAGCATTCCCAAAAAGGACGTTGGGGAATAATTTTGCGGTTACAAAAACAACAACAACAGAAAAGTCTAAGGACTTGTAGGGTCATCATGTTCCTGTAGAATTAGTAAAGGATATGTAATCAAAGACGATAAAATATTAACCTGTATTCGCGTTCCTAATAATGCAAAGATGGTCGTCTCATGCTAACAAAGTTATACGTTCAGTGTGAAAGCTCTTCCAATAGACTAAGGTTGCAGCCTTTCTACGAGACCTAGAGGTGTGAAGAAGTACCGGATTTCGGTAACCTGCCCACAGAAAGATTTACTTTGAATACGAAAGTGGTAATTTATGATCTTCTCTATCCAACTGGACAAATTAAACGCTTGGTATTAACTAGTTTGACTTAGACCCGCTGCATCCGCCACCAAGAGGTAGAAAATTCATTTAACGAGAGATATTTTATAATTATGACATCCAGCACCGCGTGCTGCGAACTGCCACGTGGTTCGAGCAGCAATTAATTTGTCATATTTACAAATATACTCGATAACTGTTTGTGATTTTACAGTTACATGCGGTCATAAAATGTAAGGCTATGAAATCGTGCAAGGTGAGGCTCATAGCAACAAAAGCAAAGCAGAAAATAAAGAATCCAACAACTAGGAAGCGCGTAAGACACTCAGAGCACCGGAAGAAATGTTCAAAAGACATGCCCACAAAGGAGCAGCACCAGCAACGCTTATTGGGCTGACCCGCAAGCACGGTCAATGTAAGAACACTTGGCGAAGGCGCGTAAGTTGTGAACGCGGCATATAAAAATTGATTCTTTGACCTTTGGCATTGGCATTGAGGCTGCCGTCATTGTTGCCAATCAATTGCTGCCACATACTGCCACTTGTCAGACGCTCCACTCGCCCTCTGTTCTTGGGTTAGCCGCACCCCAATCGTTTTGTAGTTGTCCACACGAACACAAACGCGTACGCTGATAATTAATTTCATTCTCTTTGCCAAAGACTCAAATTTAAAACAGCTTACTGAGCGGTCACTGAGCCGTCTCTGTGTGGGTATGTGCATGCGGAGGGTGAAATGTTAAGACGATACAATGACGCTCAAAGTGTCTGTTGCAATATTGCATTGACTTTTGTTGTTATTGTTGGCCGCATCGCATGGAAGTGCAACAGACAGCAAAAAACGAGTTTACTGTTGCGCGGGACTTGTGCAATCTGTGGCCTTAAGTTAAATGCACTAGGAAGGTTTTCCGGTCAAAGTAAGGTTAGGATCCTCGCAAGAGCGGGAAAGTTTCAACAAATCCTTGCTTAACAGGGAACCCTGGTCTAGCACAATATCCTTTTGGATTAAAGTTTGCTTATTATTTTTGCTCAGTTTTCCCATCCGTATTAACTTGAATATCTAGTTTAACTGTAAACTACGCCTTGAAGTAGTACTTCATACAAAGGGCCGAGAGCCCTAGTCACCCATTAACTAATAAACCTATGGAATAAACGAACACCCGGCAATACCACGAAATATGGAAAACACATTCTCACATCCGATGAGTTTTTTGCTACGGTAGTTAGGAGAGAAAAACTATTAAGGCTCTGCTCTGAAGGTGCATAATACTAGACTCGCTTCGGTTCCATTTTAGCGATAGCAAAGCTAACCGACTGACTGCCCAACCGACGGTGTTTTAAAAGGGATGCCTTCTGTAGCTTTGCACTAGTGTCCTAAAGACCTTTTTCATGCCAAGCACCTTGGTTTGGGCGTTGGCAGCCGGCTATGGTAGATAAAACACAGGGCAGTTCCACGCATGCCTTATCCCAATGCATTTTCAGCCTTCGGTTTAGATTGAAGCTGTACCTTCCTCCCTAATATCCAGTGGCGTTCCTCTGTTTTTTTTAGATGTGATCTGTGGAACTCGATCCTTGGTAGGATAGAATCTGAATCACTAAGCAAAAGTGCGAGGTGCCTTAGAAAAAGGTTCCCTTCCGTTCACTTTGCCTTTAGCTAAAACAACCCATTTCCCTAAGTTTTATGATGAATACTGCACAAGTTTCGTGAAGTTTGATTCCGAACCACGTTACGGTTAACAACCAATCCCTCTTTTTGCGAACGTTGAGTCTTCGTAATATATACCCTGAGAGAACAGACATAGAGATTGATCCGAGATCGTCTCCATATGCTACTACTTACACTCTTCCTCTGATGAGTTCCTGCGGCTTTTCATACAGTGTCAGAAAAGCGAAAAAATAACTACTTCTTGAAGAATCCCGAGCTTGGGGCTGAACCAGTAAATGTTTTAATCGTTCGTTCATAAGTATTGATTGCCATGATTCTTTCCTATATTGTGAAGGTTCTTTTCTGTGTCCAGAGAGGAGGAGATCATTTTATATCAAGCCCTCCGAGTGCATTTCTGAAATGAAATAAAAACTCCTAATATTTATCCATATATATTTAATACATCATATCTAGATACATATGTACGTATAAACGTTTCTTTTGGGCTGTCTAATATCATATTTTTCTTGTCCCTTCTCTTCCAGGCGGACGCCAGTCTGGGCATGCACGAACGTGAATATGTACAGGAATCCCTGAGTTACGTTCTACGCATACAGGAAGTACAGGAACGCATTAAATTTGAATTTGTTGAAATCTTACTTGGCTTCATCTCCGGCTGGTTGGTATTCTATCATACGGCGCACGAACAGGCTGAGGATAATCGTGATTACCTGCAAGATTTGCGACACAAAGTGCAAAAGGTGAGAGAAAGACATGGGCTTTTCTTATTGAAAATCGTATTCATATTCATTTAAATATCTTTTTCCTTTCACAGACGCGGGAGAATTTCGAAGGCACTCGAGAGAAAGTCACTGAATTGAAGACAAAATATATGGAAAAGAGAACGGTGAGTGCGAATAAGATTTAGAGAGAATTAAAGGCGTTGCATGATAAAGGAAGAAAACGATGGATTTGAAAATATATACTTAAAATATTAATATCGCTATACTTGGAAGTTTCTGTACTGAAACGGACTCAAAAACTTCACTTTCCAAAGGAAAAATTCATATATAAATCAGCTCAAGTGTGCTCAGTAACGCTTTATATACCTAATTGATCTACAACGGTCTCCGAAAGCTCTCTTTAAGTTTCGTGAGACCGTCGATTATGTTTTCTGTTTTCACCTGCAACGCATTTTGTTTCGAATTCCTTTTGAAGAGTATTTGTAATAAGTTATTATATTTTTCTATTACAGAAACCCGAAGAGAAATTTACAAAACGTGGCTATTTATTTTTGATGGAAAAAAGTGAGTCTAAATGTACTTAATGTACTCTGTTTGCTTTTTTTTAATACACAACATTCCTTTCAAACCTCATCCTCATCCTCACCGTAGCAATACAATACAAAATAATAACGAAATCTAAAATAATAAAATCTTATTTGTCAATCTCTATAATGACCCTAAACCATAATAACTTTTCACACTAAACCAAAAATTCAGTGAAAACTGAATGATGATTTAGGTTAGAGGTGTCTCAACTGAGAGAAGCTCGAGGAGGCCGGAATCTCACCTACTACCATTCGAAAGGTCAGGGTTCGAATTCTGATCTGATCACCATCAAAAATTATCGAAAATTATTTTTTTTTTTAATTGCGGTCGTCCCTTGGCAGGTAATATGAGGGCTTCATGAGTGCACTTCTGATAAAAAATAAAAACTCCTGTTAAGCTGAGGGGGTTTAGAATAAACTGCAGGTCGCTCTATTTGTTAGAAAAACATTAAGTCATACCCCACCATCTGGAGGAAGAGCTCCAGAACAGGTTCTCAAATTAGCACAAACGCTCAATTGATTACTGGACATTCTCATTGTGCCCGGCATGTGGTAGCAAAAAAAGATGGTCTCCCTTCTCAACACAGAAAAACTTACAAACCATAGGAGATTACAAAGCAGTTTTCGACATTCATTAACATCAGATCCAATAGTTTCCCTAATGTGCACTGCATTACTGCACTAACCGTCATAAGCAGTCAGACTACTCACGGTTTACATTCAAATGCACCGCTTTAGGCGAACCTCCTTCATAATTTACTCGAGAACTCCAAAGCCTCACAATAATATCGTTTCTTGTGATTGGTGATGGAAGCACATCAGCTTGCCCATTGACTTAAGAGCGACACCTCCCAGCTTCCCCTTCTAAGCAATCTCTTGTGCTAATGATTATGAGGTCTGGTATTCAAAGATAAACGATAAAGATTCCCAAATATCACTACCAACTTCACTAAGAACTTTGCAAAGGAGTTTCTGTTCTTTCTAGTAGGTGAAACATTTACCATATGGATCTTAACAGGCATCAGGCGATACATCCTGAAATGTACGAAATTGGAATACCACTCCTTCAGAAAACTTCTGATGGCTTGGTGGAACGACAACGTCTTCATCGCCAAGAGAAGCTATCATGTTATCCTTTGCATTTAGGATTGTTTCACTTTGCTGCGTACCTGTCGTAGGACACAACTTTAGTTTAGGAAATGATCTACAGATGAAACAACATCAACAAGACAAACATCTTCAGTTATACTGCTATGAAAGTTTCTCTTTTGGCGTTTGGATGTGACCTTTATCTCTTTGAGGTTCATGCAGGCCTCAAGGGCGAGGCTACCACCATATTGTCTAAAGCTGTAGACCCGAAGAGCAAATAAAGTCCTAAAGCATTTTCAAAGTGGGACATACCACTAAATTATTGTCGGACAGCGTATAGAGGCTTACTTAGTTTTCTTATGAAAGTATTAATGGGGTCCCCACCGGCCGAGCTCAAGGTATGCACAGAAGGCAATGAAATATCCTCCACTTTCGAGTGAGATGTCATGTCATCCAATTTCATCAAGTCAAGTGAGTACAAACGAACCCAACAACTACGAGGAATTAATTGCTTGTTGCAATCTCGAGCTGTAGACGACCAGCTGGCCTCAGCTTATTGGTAAGCATCTCGTCGCGTAGATTCGAAATTCGTTGGTTTCATTGGGAATTCAAATATGTGGTGGTTAATGCATGTGTTGACTTACTTAGTTAGTCTGGACATGTAGGAGTTTTGTTAGTATTACTCGGGTCTCGCATCCGCTATGGGTGGTAGTTGGGTTTTACGCACGCCATTCACAGGAACAGAGTTAATAGAGGTGCTGACGTTCAGATCCTATCGCCATACCGTTCTGTTGTTGTTGTTGTGGTTGTAACCGCAAAATTATTCCCCAAAGTACTTTTTAGGGAATGTTGCGGGAGTGACAGACCTTGGCCGGATAAAAATCCGGGTCGTTCCGGTATAAAGACCCGACTGTCGCGGGAACTATTGCATTTTAGTCGCCTCTTACGACAGGCATGCCTTACCGCGGGTAAATTCTTGAGCCCCTAACCCGCAGGGGGTCATACATACCGTTCTGTCCAGCGGCTCGGTTATGTGATGCGGAATAGAGTTATTTATGTCGAGTACTTCCGTTCTAATATGCCTAGGTTAGAGCTCGTTGACACGGCTTGTTCCTTGGAACACCCTTTTGAAGACCTCGACATCGAAGGTTTTCCTACACACTATATTAAGCAAGCCGCTCAAACAACAACAACGTAGCTCTCGGTAAACCCTCGTTTTTGTGGCCATTAAAACATTATTTTTCCCAAAGCCCCCACCACCAAAAATATTAAATTTCCTCCGAAAATTACCCCGCCGGACTCCCCAATTTCCCCCCCCCCCCACACATATATTTTGCATTTTATTTATCATTTTATTCGATGTGCGTGACCCCCCTGATTAATACTTAAAATAGGCTCGATTTTGAAAATTTCTCTTTTAGAACCCTTCAAAGCAACATGGACGAAATACTATTGTACATACAAGAAACAAAAGAAGGAATTCACAATGTTGCAATTCAACCAGATGAATCACAGCTCAACGCGGCCTGAGGGGCGTGAAGAGGAGAAATTAACACTGTACTCGTGTCATCCACGCAACTCGGAGTTCGAGAAGCGTTTCTGCTTCGATTTGACATTCAAAGAGAAACCGGGCATTGTGTATACATTTCAAGCGCTCAGCGAGGACGATCGACAGGCGTGGGTGAAAGCAATGGACGGCACTGAATCGGTTAGTGGAAAGATGCATAATTTCACAGGCCTAAAAATAATGTATTTTGATTTTTTAATTCATTCTAGACCTACTTTGCTCCAGGCAAAGTGAAGGCTGGCGAGGAATATCAATTGGACGACATGGGTTTCGCTTTCGTACGCCGTTGTATCGATGTGCTGGAGAAGCGTGGCCTCGAAGATGAGGGCATTTACCGCAAGAGCGGTGTTGGGACGAAAATCTCCAAGCTCCTATCGCTGGGCATGGATCACAAGAAGGCGGAGAGTGTCTTTAACGATGACCAATATCGTGACCTCATGGAGAGTAATACCATAGCGAGTGCGTTGAAGACTTACTTGCGTAATTTGAACGAGCCGCTGATGACATATCGCTACCACAGTGGCTTCATCGAGGCGGCAAGTGAGTATATTGGAGATCTTCGAAAATTTAACTTCATTTCGAATTATGCGTATTTTATAAACCACTTTTTCTCCCACAGAACAAGAGAGCCTTAATCAGCGCGTTCATGAGGTGCATAAATTGGTGCACAAGCTGCCACAGGCCAACTTCGAGATGCTCGATCTTGTCATACGACATCTGACAGAGTAAGTTCTACTCATAGATAAAAAAATAACTTTATCTTTTCTAACACACATTTCATCTTCTCTTCCTGATAGGGTGTCACGTAAATTCGAAAAGAATAAAATGTCCGTCTTCAATCTGGGCGTTGTGTTCGGTCCAACACTGTTGCGACCACAAGAGGAGACCGTTGCTGCCATATTGGACATCAAGTTCAACAACATTGTTATAAACATATTAATTGAAAATTACGATCGCATATTTAAGAGCGATCCGAGCGCGCCAATGCTGAGTGCGCCCAATCCCACTAGTCCGCCGACGCGTGTGCCACGCGCTAGTCAAGCTGGTAAATCACCGTCAGCGGGTGGTGGCGGCGGCGGGGTGGGCAACGGCGGGCGTACGTCCATGTATTCACCGCAACAGCAAGTGTACCGATTAGTTACCAAGTCCAATTTTACAGATCCACCGATGTCATCGAGTTTACAAAACATTCCAAATGGCTTAATCTATTCGCACGGTGGTGGCGGAGGAGGCGGCGGTGGTGTTGGCCTCAACCCATCGAACCGCACAAACGGCGGCCTTGTCGGCGGTCACACGACCAACGGTAGCGGCGGTGGCGGCGGAAGCAGTGGCCCTAAAAGTCTTGGCATGAGCGTCAACATGGGCAGCGTGAAGAACTTACATTCCATGTCGCAGAGTGATATCAGCGTGCGTAATCTGCGTAGCGGTAATGGCGGTAGCAGTGTTGTGAACAGCAGTGCCGCCGATGCTGTGTATGGCATACTCGGTGGCGGCACCAATGGCTCCGGTTTGACTGCGCATCATGCCACGCCCGCAAATGCCACACAACTGCGTCAAGATTATCTAATGGCCACAGCTACGCCAGCGTCGACGGGTGTTGTCGGCGGCAGCGGCGGAATTTATTCCACTGCCTCCACGGGCAGCACAACGCGTCTGAATATGAATAATGTTTCCCCACCAACGATATCAATGCGCACTGAGGCGTTATATGGTTCGACATCGTTAGCGGGCGGTGGCGGTGGCGGCGGCAGTGGTGGTGGTGGTGGCGGTCAATCGCAACTTTCCCGCATGTCATACGCACAGGCGAAACACTACTCGCCAGTCGCAGCAGCCGCATCAACTTCTAGTTCCAATGAGAGTGTCTGTGATTCTTTATCGTCAGCCAATGGCATTGGCGGAGGTAGTAATAATGGCAGTCGTTTATTGGGTGGCGGCGGTGGTGGTGGTAATTCACTGGACTATGTGCCACATTCCTCGCAAGCGTCCTCACTGTCGACGCTCTTGGGCTCCACCTGTGACGATGTGGTGACTGCGACGGCGGCACCTTCAATGATTGGCGGTGGCGGTAGTTCGCCGAAAGACGGCGAGTATGTGCCGGCTAAGGTGCATCGCAATAAGGAGATACAACGAGAGCTGAATGCGGGCACGGCGTAAGTGTAGTTTGAGGATTTATAGTGTCCTTTTTTTTTTAAGTATAATATGTATGTATCTAAGCGGGTAGAGGGTGAAATGCATAGTTCATTGAGCTCTAGGCTCGTACAAACAACTTGGGCGGAGCTCTTGGTCAGGAAAGTGCGCTTTTTAATGAATTCAAGAAGGAAATTTCTTTTTCAGTTTGATTTCACACAATCCCAACCAGTTAGGAGTTCAAAGACTGGCGTTTCAATGCTTACTATGCCCAGTAAACACTGTAATAACATTAAGATATTTTAAGTTTTTTTTGTCGTTTCTATTAGAGTTTCTAGGCGAATCAACAACCAGAAAACTTACTAAAGATTCAGAGTTACGATGATTGTTTTATTTAATTGCTAAGTTCAGGGAATCCGGAATGAATTGGGCAATCAATCGCACTGAGTTTACATACGGATACTTTTATTTCATCTTATCGTCAACTTCTCTTTTGCCGTTGCTAACTTTTTTGAGCAATTTTGTACTATTCCATGGGTTTCCAAGTTTTCACATATATATTTTTTTTTTTGTTTTTTTTTTTTTTTTTTTTTTTTTTTTTTTTTGAATTGTTCTTGCTAATTAGAAAAGTTGATTTTCCATTAATTTGGAAGCAGATGCAGGTCTGGCTAAGACTCAAACCCCGACTTTATGACAGTACGGTACGCTGCCCTCTGCCCTACTAAGAGCTTCTGCGACAAGAATTGTCCCGAGTAGACTCAGTCTTGTGGAACGTTTTAGGTCGATCGCTTACGAAACTAGTTAAACTTAATATTATTTCTATCATCACTGAATTTTTTCTCCGCTTCAAAAATAGAACTCTTTGATAATTTCCTTCAGCCTCAACTAGCTAAAATGATCAAAATTGTGCTGAAAAAGGATTCACGTGAAAGTTAACTGTGGTGTTCTTTTATACTCCGATTTATATTCCTACTTATAATGAAGAGGATCAGTTTAGATCCGTTTGGTATTTCTTTTCGTTGTAAATGATTGACGAAAAGTTGTTTACTTTTGATTATGTGCGCAGAGGGGGTTAAGGTAGATATCGGGCAATTTGACTTCTCCTGGCTGATAGGTAGGACTTGTTTAGAAAGTTTTGATTTGACTTTGAAATTAAGGTATGTTTCGTGGCAGCTCTGCTAAATCTCCCCCGTCGGTGCTTACGAATTTCCAAGTGAATTACCCGCTGGCATCTAATTTTACTTCTTCTGGCCTTGCCGTAGCACCAAACAAAGTAAGAATTGGTTATTCACAACCAAATCGAATAGAATTGCCACAAATTTATTGTAATATTTGAGTGTATTCTGACATGACATGAAATAAAGCTTCTCATAGAAATACCATCAGCCGTTCGGAGTCGGCTTAGGATAAACTGTTTATCGCTCCATTTATTGGAAAAACATCAAGACGCAAAACCACGCTTTTACTATTATAGCCGAATATATTGGAATTTAATCCGTTCGCCGAGAGAGTATTCTAATTTTCAGTTGCCTACTCAGTCCAGTGTGTCCAAGACTTTACAACTGGGAATATAATCTCACATTATAATCTTATCGCTACTGAATCTGGGGCTACCACTGGGATATTCACGGGAACAGAGTGAACTTGTAAAAGTCGTGGTTGACTACCTGCTCTTGATATAACTACAATGCGCATCCACTATTGGTTCTGGGTGATATTGAACTCTTCACAGCCCTCGGTTTGGCGTAAAATCCGGGACGTTGTGTTATAAAAACTCGCCTGTGAAGAGGACTTTTAATGAGTTTGAATGTAAGACGGCTTTACGGCAGGCATAAGTTCAAACCCACATAGTGATTTCGCAGATATTTTAGTGCACTTTCCTTTTGAAGTTTTCTTATATTGGGTTTGTTAGGCTTGCATTTACGCTGAGTTTGGTATTCTGGCGAACTGGTCACATTTTTTTAAATAACTTTGGCAGCGCTGCTTTTTTCGTCCATATCAAATTTCAGTTGGTAAAGTAAATAGAAGAATATATATGTATAAATATATATAGACATATATTTGCATTTCTATTGACGTTGGGAAACAGATTTTACCGGCTTTCGCTTTGGCAATCAAATTTGAAATATAGTGCAGTGATCGCAAAACAAAAGGTTGGCTCATGGCAGGAAAAGACAATTGCGCATTCCTGATACGACCCGCGGGAAGAGAAATACATACATGCAATATGTCAATTAATTGTATGCAAAATGAAAAAATCACAAAAATCTCTTTTCAAATTTTATTTTATAAATTAATGTATTTTATTTTTTTTTTTTTGTTAATCTAAGTATTCTTAACAAATTTCACTCTAAGAAATAAGAAACATTAAAACAGAACAGTAAAAAAATTAACAAATTTAAAATTCGCCAAATATTGCGTTGTCAATTAATTGCTTGCAAAATGCCCATACAATTCAAAATAAAGCGTAGATAACTTAACGGTACCACAAATTTAAAAACGAGTGAACGCGTGCGTCATAGCTATGCGTTACTCTATTACATTCAATTCGATTAATGCTCTGGACAGTTCAAATCTTGTTGATTTAGCGCTTATAACAATGTCTGGCAAGCGAAAATCTTATTCAATTAGTTCATTCTAACTCCCACAAAGGGAAATCGGAAATATTATTACACGCGCAGAAAGAGAAAACAGTTTGGAGTTAAGGCACTCTGGAGGTAGACCACCGAAACTTTCTAGACACGATCATTCAAAAATTTTAAAGCAGATCAGCGATAAATCATGGCTGTGCAGGACGTGGCTACTTTATAATTGCGATAATGTGATTGACACTCCTGCCCAGAGTCCTCACTTAAACCACATAGAAAATTTATGATATGAGAAGCGAGTGGGCAAACGCGGTCCAACTAATAAAAACGCTCTTATTGGGGTCATTCAGGAAGAATGGAATAAAATACCTGAAAATTATGACTTAAACAACCTTTTTCAGTCCATGTCACGTCGTCTTCGAGCTGTTATAGACGCATGTGGACATTATACCAAATATCAGTACCAACACTGCTATATTTTCCCAGTTTCAATTTTATTTGCAAAAATTATTTACAAAATCCAAACAGTTAATTGGCACCATAATATTTTCTGTTATTTTTTTTTTTTTTTTTTTTGAATTCTTATATCTCTTTTACTTTTATGTCTTGATTTCTGGAATCTGTGTGCATTATTTATGTTAAGAAGACTCAGGCTAATATTAAAAAAAAAGAAGTTGAAAAATTAATTTGTTGGTTTTTTTCATTTTGCAAACAATTAATTGACATATTGTATATTAATGAGAGAAAAGCCACCAATAAAACGGCAAAGATGTCTTCCGTCAAAAAAAATTTTTGATTTAAAAATTATATATGAAAATGAACATCTGCTCCCTTGTGATATGGTGCCAACTCGTTTATAAGCTCTAAAAGAATTGTGTTGTTCAGACGAAAATGCTAAATGACAACGCTATCTTCCAAATTAAAAGGATCATATTTTGTTGCAAACTTCTTAACTTGCACCTTCTTGCACTTTTTTCTTTATCTTCAATGAATTCTAGACGTAAAACTTATATATGTATTAGATTGGAGCTCTATTCTCCCATTTGATTAGTCCGCCTCGATGATTTCTCCAAAAAGTCGACTAACCTACAGTTTTTTTCTAAGACTTCTCAAGTGGGGTAGTGGATTTAATAACAAAAAAGTTTTATTTCATGGCAGCAATAAACTCAGCCGCCGCCATAGCCGAGCGGTTAGCCTTGTGACTGCCAAAAGTTATAGAAAGTTAAGTTAAAGAAAAATTGAAGTAAACTTTTCTACTTGCGGTGGCTCCTCGGTAGGGAATGTCTACTCCTCCGAGTGCACTTTTGACATGAAATAAAGGCCCCTCGTAAAAAAACCATCAGCCGTTCGAAGGAGGCTTAGTATAAACTGTAGGTCCCTTCATTTGTTGGAAAAACATCAAGACGTAAAACCACAAATTGGAGGAGGAGCTCGACCGAAAATTGCTTCAGCGTTTACACAAGCGCCAGTTGTACTTATATATAATGAGCTCAGTGATTTTAAATTCTTCAAACTCTGACTCTTAAACAGCGAGCTCCCTTTTCATATGAGTCGTTGGTCCTCTAAAGGTTCTGTTATGCTATTTTTATTTTATTATTTCAGTTTTTCTATTAAAATTTAGTTTTAAAGCTAAATTCCATGATAACCATTAATAACTTCTAAATATTTACAGGCGCGTACGCACACTCTACGCGTGCATGGGCGAGAGTGAGGGTGAACTGTCATTCGAGCCCAATCAGATCATCACCAATGGTAAGTGGAAAAATCGAATTATTCAATTAATATACATACATATATACATGTAAATAACTTGTGCTCCTTCTCTTCCTCGCAGTGCGCTACTCACACGAACCGGGCTGGCTGCAGGGTACGCTTAACGGCAAAACGGGACTTATACCGCAGAACTACGTTGAACACTTGAAACCATACCACTAGAATAGATCTTTAAGTAACTAACATACATAGATATGGAATTCGTTGATTTACATATATACAATATGTATTATGTATTTAAATGTATATGTATATGTATAACTGCATACATATGTATTATGTATGTATGCTATGTTTTTGTATGTGTATGTAAACTAAATGGCAAAAATGTCGTCGCTCGCGACGTGCGATGGAAAACAGTTGGTGTGATGTAAAATTAAAACAAAATAAAAAGTACGAAATTGAAGAGTACTTATAGTTAATTAGTTGCATAAGTAGCATGTAAAGTGTGTAAGGGAAGTAAAGAAGGAGGAAAGAAGCGGAAAGGAAAAATAGCAGAAAATAGCAAGCAAATTGCGCCACTTGAAATTCAAAAGAAAGACGCAAACGAATCAACAACAGCAAAAAATAATTGCATAAACGAATAAATACCGTTAGACTATTGCAAAGCAATCAAAGCAATATTTAAACTGTGTGTTAACTGTAAAAGTCCATAAAAGCTCCAAATAGCAGTTGCCACGTACACAAACATAAAATTATAAATTATAAAATTTAATCTAAAATTGAATGGGAAAGTAAAATTTTCACAAATAAATAAAAATAAAATAAAGTAGCGTTCGAACGCACAGCAGCATACAAAAGCAAAAACAAAAACAAAAGAAAAATTTTCAAGAAATCAACACCAATTAACAGACTTATTTACCAACGCCACCAACAACAAACCCAAAATCCAAACACACACACACACACACACGTAAAAACATACACAACAGCATTTTATATATATATATACATACATAAATGATGATTATAAACACATACACATTTAGCCAGCATAAAATATAATATATATATATATATAAATGTAATTATTACCATATGTTATACATATATACAAATATATACAAAAAAAAAACAAGACACAACCACACACATATATATATATATAAATATAAATATAAATGAATAAATGTTTTTCACTATTTTTTACAATACAACAACCAACAACAAACAAACAAGAACCTAAAATCAATTATATTTTGATGCAAATATGTATGTATGTAATAATTATTGAAGAGAAAAACTGAAAAAAAAATGAATGATAGAACAAACGTACATGCAAAATAAATGCATACATATGTATATATGTATGTACATGCGTAAATAAAATAAAAGAAAAAAACACCGAATCAATACCCGATAAACGAAAAACCTAACCCAACCAATTTGCTTAGCGAAAATATGTATGTATGTATTGTATGTAACTAAAAGTGTAGTGTAGTAGTTATATATTATATAATAACTAATTACTCACCTGTGAGTATATTTGTATGTATAAAATCTAACTATTATAAATATTTGAAAACGAAATGAGAAGAACTTTAAAAGAAAACAAAAAACAACAACAAATAAGGAAGAAACAACAACACTTTATCTAAGCTAATTTATTATTTGTATTCGCTTTAATTTGTTGCGTTATTAAAGAAAGAAAAAACAAACAAATGGCAGAGAAACCAGAAACGAAAAAGAAGAAGAGAAGAAGTAAAAACCATGATAAATATTGTAAAACCAATTTGAAAGTGTATAAATAATAATTGTACGCAAGTGTGAAGAAAACAAAAACTATTAGTTTACTTTGTAAATATATAAATATTATTATATTAAAAGAAAATAAATTAACATTTTTAAGTGAATAATAAAAAATAAAAGCTATGCTAAAATTAAATGAAATAAGCAGTCTTTGAATTTTCTATATTTAAAAATTTTTTGAAAAAATGTAAAATAACATTTTAAATTTAGCAAACATTTATTTATACATACATAACACTATTTGTATAGTATAAAGCGTGGTATGAGAAAAATACCGGGAGTTTGAGAGGGAAGCCGAAATGCGTGAATTTATAGAACTCCAGTGGAGGAGACGGCCAACAATGAAAATTCTCGAAAATACCACAAGAAACCAGGTGTCATACAAAACGATTCAAAACCAGCGCTTTTTGGCCTGGATATTGTAGCAGGTTAAACTCCTACTTAATCAGACTAGATCCCAGCATAACCAACGTATGCCCTGCATGTGGAGAGTCTCCGCACCACATTAACCACCTCTTCACAAGCTCCCCTTAAACCAACTCATCTAACCCCCCTCTCCCTTTGGTCCAACCCCGTCGAAACAGCTCGTTTCCTGGATCTCCCAATAGATGACCTCGGCGACTTGGACTGATCAAACCTGTGTCTAAGCGGGGTTAGCGAGCCGCTACAACAACAACAACAAAACAACCAGCGTTTTTTTTCTACGGGAACAAGAGAAGGGATATTGTTGGTGATGTCCACTGTATATTCCGGGGTATTACAGAATCAGATTGTTGTCAGAATCAGGATTGAAACCGATGAAATTCTGCTTAATGGGCTAAACGTTCGGATTATCGATTTGTATATCTGTTTAATTTTCGAAACAAGATTTGTTTCGGTTTCATGTATTACAGAGGCTCGTTGGAGAATCAACCGTTCAAAAGCCTTTAGCAGTTCTGTAATCGCCGAGACTTTAGGTCGCACTGAGTCAATGCCCACACAAAGAAAACTCAAGTCGGTTTCATAACACCATTTTAAACAGATATTGATTCCCCAATTGCGATAGATAAGAAGTTCAGTGTCAATTTCGCTAATACATCTTATTGAGTGGAATAGACAAGCCCGAAATCCATATTTTTTGTTGCTTTAGTTGAGAAAGTCGAGAAAAGTAAGACCCGAGTATGATACAGTATATATATACATATGTATATACTTATAGTTCATCCTTCGATTGCATTGTGCGCCTTATAGTTTTCCAACTAATGAAGGTACGTTAAGTTTATTCTAAGCCGCCTCAGGACGGCAGATAAATTGTTTTTATGGAAGTCCTTATGCTACATAACTGGGAGAATTTAGTACGTGGGACACATCAGCTGGCTTCCCGTTCGGTTTTTAAACATATTAGTGGATGGTGTAGTTCATGTCTCTACTCCCTTTCTGATGGGCTTGGGTGAAGGTTCAGCCTCTATAAAATGGCTGTTGCTACCGCAGGTAATTGCTTTCACAGCAAAACATTATGCTCCATAACTCGTAGCACAGATGCTCAGGCGACATCAGTAGGTTTCCTGTCGCTGTCCGAGGGCTGTGCTTTGACTTCTTCAACTGCGTGAGACGCAGTAGGTCTAGGATATGTCGTCGAGTTAGCCTTTCACTTTCGAACAAATGTCATCAATATCCTGGTCAGATGCCCATCATCGACAATTAGGTCAAGCAAACCACTTCTGATGAAAGAGGGAGCTTCGAAATATATGATTTGAACAATAATGCGTACATCCTTTCCATTGGCTTGAAAAAGTACTAAGAACTCCGAATTCGATTTCCATTACTAATTGAGCCACATGGCGGCATCTGGCGACTTTTTTTAGTCAAGACACGAACCGCTGTCAGCAATATCTAAATGAGATTTTGATAGCTTTGCTGGCAGCATCACTGACAGATGTCGCCAAGAAGATACAAAAAAAAATATAAAAGGGGATAAATTAAAAATAAATTTAGGTAAACAAAGTTAAAAGTGTCCAATAAGAAAATAAACACTATGAACAGAGAACGTTCTTTGCTATGGAATTATTAATTTCTCTGAAACTTTGAAAAGAAACGACGAATCTTAAGAAAGAAATATCGGTCATTGCTATAGGTCTCGTGCGTTCTCCAGATACCCACCGAGAAATATTGGCTGACAACTTCTGCAGTAGGATCAACTTCTACTTAGCCAGCTTTTAGTTGTATAGCATTCGCAAATCGTAAGACCAAACATCGTTCGTTACTTTGCGTTTTAGTTTCCAGCTGCCATCGTCAAATGTTTAGATATCTCGCCTCCAACGAGCTTGACCCCATGACATCATATTTTTCCAAGCCATCTTTTGAAACAGAATCAAAACCCGCTCGACCTAATCAATAGTTCGGCAACATCCCCATGCCATTATAATAATAGTGAACTTTGAGCACCTCCGATATAAGATATTTATGTAAATACGGCTTCATAATTTGCTCTTTGTAACCGCTTAAGCGATTTTCGGCCGAGCTCCTGTTCCTATTTATGGTGTGGGTCTTGGTGCCTTTCCAAAAAATGACACGGGTCATAATTTATTCTAATCCGCCTCCGAAAGGTCGATGGACTTTTGTTTATAATTGACCAGAAAGTCTATCTCAAATTAGTGTTCAACCGTTATTACTAGGATTCTTTTACTAAAGCTTTCACCTAATCCTATAATGATATGTATCTCTCAGCTCCAAAAAGCAATAGTCATTCATTTCCCTGGTAACTTAAGCCCTTCTCCGGCAGGTTGTGGTGCCGTGGCATAACCAGTTGAAACCAGGAGACAATTTGCTTAAAAATTTTGATAGTTTCATCTCCAGCCGAAGCCGAAAATGCCACCAATCTTGACTTTTGTCATAGCCGAAGTAGTCATACAAATGACGGCTCTTTCTTTAGACGGCGCAGAGGATGCTTCACACAAAGTTTTTTGTGCTCATTTTAGGACTGCCTCCTCGGAGGCATCTACAAAGGCTCTTGTTTTTTAGACATTCATAATGGATGTCAATCAAATATATCTTCAAATCTTTCCCACGGCATTTGTTAAGAGTCCTCGGAAGCTCCGGATATTTCAAGAAATATTTTGTTGCAGAATCGAAATAGTACCGTTCGTAGGATTTTCCCTCCTTTCGTTCCTCGTTAGTTTTCGAAACTGATGTTGAGATCTTCGCAAAAAGCCAATCAACATTGTATCAAGCAGAACCTTCCTCGTTTGGTCATTCATATGTAATAGAGATCACAACTTCTTATTCCCTGTTCGAGTGATACAATGTAAACCGACTGATCCAAAGACGTCTGCGGTATTCGATATTTTTGAACGCAGCGACCCTTGGATCTGCTAAAAAATACTTCAAATCCAAACTTTTGTTTTCGGTTCATAATTATGATAGAATAAGGCGGAGCTTCCGATATAGCTTAGGTTCTTCCACTGATCTGGTTCTTAGTAATGCATTCCAAGTAGCGAATGAAGCAGCTCAGACAGATAAGGAGCACAACTCTAAACAAAGCCGCAAGAACCAACACCAGAATGACTGACTTGTGCGCTGAGAAGCGTCAGAAATCTCACGCTCAGTTTGAATGTCAGCTTATGTAAGCGTGTATGTGCGCGCTTCCACGATATTTTGAAATGCTTCGGTGGTGTTTCATTTCACACACACAGATACAAATAAGCATATCTTATGTACGTATATGAATGTGTAAAGGAAGTGTCAAGCGCGCGACGTAAGTCCAGAACACAACAAAACAGATCGGTCGCTGTGGCCAAGCGTTTGCTGGAAAGTTGTGAGTGCGTGCTTCAAGAATTCACTTCGGTGAGTGCTGCACGCGCCACATGAGGAGGGGTTGCACACAAGCCAGCCGAGGCCGCCGACAATTGCAATGGAATTGAGCGAGACCGGCTGACGAAGAAATGGAAATGCGAAGGAAATTTCAGTTGTTGGAGAGAGTTCGCGGCGAATGGTTTGATTGAGAGATCAGTTGGTACGCACCGTGATTGTGGAAACCCCTCAAAGAGAATTCGCAAGAAATAGCAAAACAAATAACACAAAAATACCTAGTTGTGTGAGGATCGGACGGACGGACGTTGCGCGACGCAGGTGAAATTAGGCGCGTGGACTCATA